CCCCCCAACTTTCATCACTAAGTTACAGCCTTGCTTGGAGTGGATGGTTGAATATTTTTGCGCACAGTTTTGGAGCCATGAGGTGGGGGGGTTAGGTTAGGTTGACACTGGGCGTGGAGTGACTCAGGACAGGCGGATGACTCTGTGGATTCACTCATGCATGGTCTCACAGTGTGACGGCCCAGACGTGGGTGGAAAGTGGCTCCAGCTCCGTTTAACGGAACACCTCCGACTTCAGAAAACTGTCAACAAACAAAGAGCAACTTTATCACTATTATCACTGTTACGCGCGACTGTTTTCCAGAACAGAGCAGAGCAACCCGGAGGATCTGGTTCATGTGCGCTTGGAAGCGACCAACCAAAAAAAAAAAAAAAGAAAATAGTTGATGAAATTTTCAAAGAAATAATTCTTGAGGGAGGCTCTCAGCTGGAGGTCCCATCGCTTCCCAACCATGGCACCGCTGACAGCTGATGGATGTGATCTTATGTAACTTTGGCATCTTCAAAGGTATGAGACAAGCTGAAACTTTCAGGGAGGGGGAGTTTATGAAGAAATCTGAAGGTAACTGAGAACCTGCCTCAGTTTTACTGAACAACAGAAGAACAAAAGCCTGACAAAGCTTGAGGCGCTTGAGGGGAGTCTGTGCGCTCTGGCACACTCTGCATTATGAGTCTGGCACCTATGGCTTTGCAATCTGCTCAGCTGTTAGACTCAAATACTACAAATATCACTAAACTTTCATAGTTTTATGCTGAATTTAAGGTTTGATTTTCAAAAGTTACCAAAACTTTTAAAAAGGAGGATAACTAACCCTCTGTTGATCTCCTTCAGGAAGTTTACAGCAAATACAGGCAAAGTGTCTTTGTTATTACAGTATCTACTGTTATTTTTTGCTTTGATATTAACAACAATGACAGTTAAACTTTTAAAGGCCTTAAATCTCTCAGATGGTTTAATGTTGAGCAAATGTTTTTTCTTCTGCAGGTGTCAGATTGTGAACCTTATAGTCGATGGATTTATCACCTTTAATTCACCAGTTTCTCAGTAAGTTCTTTCTTTCAAGCTTCTTTTACTGCAGATTTTCTGAAATTATTACATGCTGATATGAAATTATATATATATATATATATATATATATATATATATATATATATATATATATATATATATATATATATATAAACATCTCAAAAACCTGGTTTCTTGACTACATGGGTGTATAGTGTGCACATTTTTAGCTTTTATTTTCAGTAAAAATCTTTCCTTTTAGCCTTCAAAAGTTTTATTAAGTTACAATTTTTGTATTTTCTCATTTATCAGTTGAATATATTTAAAAGTAATTCCCTGATGCTTCAAGCTTAGTATTATTCTTGAGATGGGCAGATGTTCAAACTTTTTTTATACATATATGCTTCATATTCTAAAGTCAGCCATACAGTGAAAGTTAGATCCCTCCCCCCCTGTGTGGTGCATGCAGCTTTTTTGTGTTACAGCAGACAGAGACTGGGGTGAGGGAGGGTGCGATGTGTAAATGTGTGTGTATCACTATGTGTGTGTGTGTGTATTTGCCATCCCAGAGCCCCATCTCTGCTAAATGCTGTTTTCGAACATAATAATGTTGATCTCAGCACATGCCTGCTGGGCAGTGGAGCGAATAGGTGAGAGACAGAGACAGGGCCTGACACAGACACAGAGAGAAAAGCCAATGAATTGGGCTTCAATCGCACAGGTGGCCTGTACAGTATACCAGCATCTGTATTGAAAGGCTGTGGTTAGGTGCAGCTTTCTGCTCTGATCCTCTTCTGATTGTTATCCAATGGTATAGGAGGATTTATGCCAACGGCTGGTGTATGTGTTTACGTACAGTGTCGCAGCTCAGGGTAAAAACGTTTTAGTTTGCCACTGTTTTAATATTCACTAACTTTCCTTGGACCTGACAAAATCTCTTCTGTCTGTCTTGTTTTTTGTTTGTCCAGCCTGTACTTTCTCTGTAGGCTAGAAACGTGGAAGCATGGGCGACTGGAGTTTTCTGGGGCGGCTGCTGGAGAATGCTCAGGAGCACTCAACCGTCATCGGCAAAGTCTGGCTGACCGTCCTCTTCATCTTCAGGATCCTGGTGCTCGGCGCCGCGGCTGAAGAGGTCTGGGGCGACGAGCAGTCCGACTTCACCTGTAACACCCAGCAGCCCGGTTGCGAGAACGTCTGCTACGACGAGGCGTTCCCCATCTCCCACATCCGCTTCTGGGTGCTGCAGATCATCTTTGTGTCCACACCGACCCTCATCTACCTGGGCCACGTGCTGCACATCGTCCGCATGGAGGAGAAGCGTAAAGAGAAGGAGGAGGAGATGCGCAAAGCCAACAGGTTACAGGAGGAGAAGGAACTCCTTTATAGAAACGGTGGTGATGCTGGAGGTGGGGGGAAGAAGGAGAAGCTACCCATCAGAGACGAGCATGGCAAAATCCGCATCAGGGGTGCGCTGCTGCGCACTTACGTGTTCAACATTATTTTCAAGACCCTGTTTGAAGTGGGTTTCATTTTGGGCCAGTATTTCCTGTATGGCTTCAAGCTGAGGCCCCTGTACAAATGTTCACGTTGGCCGTGCCCCAACACTGTTGACTGCTTCATATCGAGGCCCACTGAAAAGACAATTTTTATCATATTTTTGCTTGTGGTGGCTTGCGTGTCTCTTTTGCTGAATTTGTTAGAGATCTATCACCTCGGATGGAAGAAACTCAAACAGGGCATGACCAACGAGTTCGCCCCTGATAGCAAGTCTCTGCAGCGAGCCGGCGCTGAAGAGCCTCCGTGTTTGGCCTCGGCCTCCAGAACTGCCCCATCCGGCTACACTCCCAACTACATTGAGGTGACGGCGGGCAGCGGGGCGTTTCTGCCGCCTATTAGGCCAGCAACCATGGCTTCAACAGCGGAGTACAAGATGGATGACCTCCAGCGAGAGGACTCCCTTCAGCAGTCTTCTTCACCTTCTCAATACTACATCAGCAACAACAACAACCACCGGCTGGCCACACAGCAGAACTGGGCCAACCTGGCCACTGAGCAGCAGACTCGGGAGATGGGTTCCCCTTCGCCATCCTCATCTTCTTCTGCCAACGAGAGCGAACAGAAGATGCCGCCTGGTGCTGCTCTGCTTCTTTCCAGCAACAACAGCAACGGCAACACCACCGACGGCAGATGCCCAGGTACCGCCTCTTACGCAGACAGCGGCGGGGGAGACAGAAACGCACAGGAAGAGGTCCGCAACACGACCACCACGGTGGAGATGCACGAGCCACCGCTTATGGTCAGCATAGACCCTCGGCGGCTCAGCCGTGCGAGCAAGAGCAGCAACGTCAGGGCGAGGCCAAATGATCTGGCTGTCTAAAACCTTTTAAAAGCTTTTAAACCAAGGGGACCGAGGGAGTATTTGGTCAGGTATCATTGCCCTCAGCCACAACCTTTTAGAGCAATCGGTGAGTTGTAGAGCTGCTGATGTAAAAGGTTGGTTAATTTTTTAGGTCCGTACATAGAAAATTAATCACACAATTCGACAAAGAGAGGAAGTTAAAATTTCATGTCATGAAAGACAATTTTTCCCAACCGTTTTGGTTTGGTGAGACACGTCATGGTGTTTCTTTAGATTTTCTTTTAGCCTAGATTACATATTTTTCCTCATATAAGATATAAAATGGTAGCATACTGACAAGGCACAGACCAGTATGAGATTCCTTTATGAGATAGTCCTCTGTGTTCATGTTTTCTATCGGTTTGTCGACCTGCTCAGATCTGCTGCTCGACAGATTTGCCTTTGCTGTCGTTTTAGAACGAGAGGGAAGGGTGTTGCTACTTTGGTTTCTACACCATTACCATCTAAGTTTTAAGAAACTGGAAATACTTTTTTTCAGCCAGTTGTCCAGCGGCGTGCAGCAAAGAACTGCGTTAGTTTTGTACAGCAACAGTCACTCTTGCACTTTCCCTAGGATATTATTAAAATGACCTTAAATCCTAGGAACGGTGACACGAAAAGCACCGATACCATCAGGGTTTTTTAATCTCACCGTTTTTTAACCGGCTTAACGCTCCAACATGTGACATGTGTTGCAGTTTTGGTCCGATTGATTTCTTATTTTAAGGTATTTTATAGAAATGACCCTTAAATTAATCTTTTTAACAATAGATGACAGTCCTATAACTCACCGATTCACTGGCTTTTGTTTCACCCTAAATCCATGATTTTCCATGATGTTATGCCGATGTCTGACAAATTATGCTGTAAAAAGGATGAGAGAGAAAAAAATGTAGGTACCTGCCAAAGAAATGTTGCACAAAGGTGTTGCATGCCAAAAAAAATAAAACCTTCACAATGAAAAGCAGATATAAGGGCAGCCAACAAAATGAAGATAAAAATGTCCTCCTTGTTTAAAATATAGTGTTCTGGTAAAGGTATTCCACACACCCACAATTACCTTTTTATTACACCTGAGCGACAATAGAACCTTTGGAAGCGCCAAGATTTTTATTGTTCAAGAATTAATATGCTTCTTTATTGATTTTTATTCTGAAAAGTGCTATTTTTTTAAGAAGCTGATTTGAACTTTACTCATTAACTGTGCCACCTGTAGTAGTCAGTTTTTGACTGAGGAACAGCTCAGATTAAAAGAAAAAAAGAAGAAAAAAACCAAAGACAGCTTTTTGCGCATTTTTAAAATGCTGTTGTGCAGTTGCCCACTAGTGCTTTTTATTTTTTTCTTGTGCTTGTCATGATACCTAAACACCTCTTGGGATACCCAGGGGGTTGGTAACCCCATGAGCTGCCACGGTCCTCTGTGGTTTGTCATTGTCCTGTCTGGTTGTTCACGCTGAAAGCATTTTCAAAATGCTTTTTTTTATATAATTATCATCAAACCTATTCTAGGATTTAACTCTTAGCCTAACACCAGGAGCACCAGAGTGAAAACCCAACGAACGTAAAGTATATAAAACAAAACGGACAGTTTAGTACTTTTAAGTAAGGTTCTGTTAAAAGAGTATAGCCTACATCTTACCTGCAATTAATAAGTCTCAAGGCGTCATTATTTAATATTAACTCTCATTGGAGGCTAAAGCTAACGCCGAGAATAAAAGAGTGTAGACCAATCTAGACTTCTACTTTATTAAAATACTCCAATTTAAAAATGGTTTAGATGTTTATGCAAATGCTTTTAAAGGAACTTTGAAAACCATTGTCATGTTTGCATCCTGTGGCTAATTGCAAAGAAACTGCTGATGTTTAACCTGGAAATGAAGGTTCACCACCAGTCGTCCTCCTATATTCTCTTTCCTACTGAAATTAGGGGGTTAACTCAGGTTTTTCAAACACGGGTAGACTTGCTAACAATCATGCTGGGTTAGCATTCAGGATAGCATCAGTGAGACAAAAATCAGGACAGTAAACAATGGAGAGCATTATGGAGGGAAGCCAGGGCCTAGTAAGTGTTGTTTATTGTTACGTTATTTTGTCCTTCCGAATCTCTCTCACTAGAGCTACGCCATTTTTAATCAAATGTTAGCAGAGTTGTTTATATCTTATATCAGACGCGACTGGCGCAATGTGTTGAAGCCCGTATTTTGAGCTCAATGGTATCACTTAAATGAGCGGGTCGACCCAGGTCTAATGTTCCAACTGTTCCAAACCATTACTGAGTTGTTTGTCTCGGTTTGACACGGGTCAGTGAGCTGTTCCCACTGCCACTAAAAGCCATAGTACTTTACTCAGAAGTACAGGGCAACGAAATGAACTCTCTGCATTAACCCATCCCCTTGGGCAGCAGTGGGCTGCCATTGTGCAGCGCCCGGGCAGCAGTTTGGGGTTAAGGGTCTTTTCCTCAGGGACCCTGAGTGGCAGTATGTGAGAGTGGGGCTTGAACTTTGAACCTATGGATTCCAAGCGCAATGCCCTAACCATTAGGCTGCCAACCCCCTAAAACAATAATACTTAAAATATTTATTAATCTCTCACTGGAGAAATTCACTTCTGCATTTAACCCCTCCTCTAGCAGTTTACTGCCGCAGTGCAACACCCAGGGGGGAACAGCTTGGAGTTAAGGGTCTTGCTCAGGGACCCAGAGTGACAGTCTGCAAGCTTTGAACTCAGAAACTCTGGCACCCAAGCAGAATGCTCTAACCATTAGGCCACCACTCCCCAAATCTTTTTTTCGGCCAGTGTGATCCGATCTTGAAATGTGTATACATATACCAAGCTTTCAATGAGATGAAATAAAATTTTCCGGAAACGTATTTGCAGTAGAAGAAGACGCTGACTGTTTGTAAACAAACCAATTCTTGTCCGCTCATCCTCAACATTAGCTAGTCTTTCTTCCTGACCCGGACATTTATTATTTTTTGCAGTTCTTCCGTTGTGTCTATTGATGTGTTTTTTTCCCCACTATGGACCTTCCTCGCCACACCTTTTTAGTTAAATGTATAGTGGAGGATTTTCGCAAATTTTTGAAAAGACCCACCCTCTCCACTTTAAAAAAAATGAACATAAACAACCCTGTACCCACTCCGGAGAGAGGATGCCTATTAAAAGCATGCAAGAGTGTGCACAAGCCCATTTCTCGTCGTGCACGCTCTGTTTAAAAGTTGCTGTTTGTATCGTTCATACAAGCTTACTTTCTAAGCTTACTTTCCACTATGTCAGACTTGCCACCGGTAACTGAAAATTGGGAAGAGCACCTAAGAAAGCCTTAGGTAAACATATCACCAGAATGATTGAAAATTAGGAGGACCACTTTTTTTCCCACTATACCTTTAAGTTTAGGCTTAGCTTATGCTAACACTAGTTTGCTACAGATGTAGAGGCAGGATGGCAGGTTCATCCCCACATTACATTTAGAGCCACCTCCTCCACCAAGGAGAACCTGGAGCCAGTGTCGCCTTGAACCCCAGTCGGCCTCAGCAGATGGCCGCACACACTGCTTGAGGTTTCTTCCTGTTAAAAGGGAATTTTCCTGTCCACTGTCACTACCAGCATTCTTGGTGTGAGGGATTGCATTGGAGTCAATGAGTCGATACAATTAACTGGTTTTCCTTAGAAAACTTTGAATCAATCTGAATGTATGATCTGGTTGAATTGTCTCTGTAAAGTGCATTGAGATTCACATGTGTTGTGAATCTCAAGTGAACTGAATGAGGGATAGCAAAAAAATAAGTCACGCTGACTTCACACCCATGCGCAATAGACGGCAATCGGAATGGCGATCTGAAAAAATCACCTCTTAACCGTAATGACATTTCTTTTCGATCCAAATCGAATTAGAATATTCAGTCTGAAATGTTTACATGAAACATTTTCTATCTGATCAGGACTTCAATCTGATTGTGTCCATTTAAACATAGCTATTGAGAATTTAAATAGACGTAGTAAATGTCTGGTATAGATAAGCTGGTTTAAGTGCCAGGAGAACTGTGCCGATTTCCGCACGATCTTCCTCTTCCGAGAGCCCCTGATATCTGGAGCCTCTCGGGACCAAAAATCATGGAGTTAATCCTGCTGTCTGTGGTGAATTTAGAGTGATCAGTTCTGCTTGATAGAACTTTTGATCCCTCCAATAAACTATGGGGGAAATCCAACACGTTGGTTTGTCTTGGGCTGATATCCGGTTTTGTTGGGTGTCCACCTAGTCAACCATGTTCAATTCAAAGAAACCTGAGCAACTGGCTTTTTCCACGTAGAAAGAAAGAGAGGGCACTAAAATATTTTCAAACACGACAATTTTAAAATGTGTGAACCAGCCTGAAGTAGATTAATGTCAAAAGAGATGGGATGGTTAGACTGACTGTGAACTCTCGATGACTTATCCCCTTGGTTCAAGTTTTACATGGGAAGATTTTTGGTGATGCACCGCCTCCTGCTTTCATTTCCTTAATTGGTGTTGCTGGATGTGACAATGGTTTAAAGCTTTTAAAAAATTATTTGCAAACACCAATATGGTATTTACCATTTGTTGTGAGATTACAGATTCCGCGATCTGATATTAATGTTATTATTGGTCCTCAATCTGCAGAAAATTCAACATCAGGTATCTAAAAAAATTGACCTGATGGTTAGGGACTGCTGTATTTATTCAAATTATTTATAAAAAAAAAGACTAATTTTGGTTTAATTCTCTTAAACAGCAGGAAAATTGACCCCTTTTTGGGCCTTAGCTTTGATTTAGTAAATACAGTGTTGTATTCAGGATGTAGTTCATCCTGTTAAAATGATTTTTTTATTGCTTCCTTTCTAATTTTATGCTAATCTCAATCTTTTGACTTTTCTCTAACAGCAAACATTACTCTGGTACCAGATAAGTAATGGGTTCTCCACTTCTCTAAATTGAAGTATCGAAAGTGAGAAAATGCGAATGTGTGCATCGTTATTCGGCATTAGTTTCAGCCTCCAGGACAAACTAATAAACTTTAATTCTACATAGGGAGACATAGAAAGTCATCTACTCCTGGAAATAACCTTTCATCAGAACGTTACTTATCACAAAGACCTTCCTTTTAATAATATTTTAAAGACAGTATGTTGTGTATCGGCAGCACAGCTATCATCAGATGAGGAGACGGGAGTAGGAAAAGCATGAAGTGGACAATTTTCAGATTTAATCACAGTGGAGATGCTTTTAAATCCTGTTACTGTATAATGTGAATATAGTATACCTTATAGGTATAAGATCAATGCTTTAATGTGTTACAGTTACTACAATGCCACTTGCTGTGAACACAGGAAACTATGCAAAGATAAAACACGAAACCAAAACCAGCCTTTGGCCGTTCACAGATCCAGTTAAAGACACCAGGAAGTGTTTTTCTACTTTAATCATTATTTATATTCTTAAAGTTTACATTTTAGCAATTGGTACTTGCACATTTAGCAGATTCCTTTTCAGTTATAGTATTACTGGTAGAGAGGAAAATTGCAGTGAAAGGATTACTGATCACGAAGTTGAAAGTCTTAAAAAACACAAATATTAACAGAAGAAGGAATGTTTATTTATAAAAAAAAAGAGGTTTATTCATCTCACGCACTGATATTAAAGTGTTTGGACATTGAAAAAGGAGAACCCCTCACCCCACCCCCCCCAGCTGGAACATTTTCCTGTTTGTTTAGTTAATGGGTTCCCACAAACCCCATCGGGACCCTGGTTGGACGTCATATCAGACAGCTCTGCTCATTCAGAGAATGGGTAGCTGGCCCTTCCCTAACCCTGCAGGCACTGACAGGAAGCTGGGTTCAAAGAGCGTTGTCCCTGTGACTCCTTGAAGTTCTCTCCACTTGCAGCACGTTTCATGTGGAGCATGATGTCTCTGGCTCATCAGGGAACAGGAACCATCTCACGATGCTCACAGCAGCAATCTGTTTTCAATGCTGTCTTAAACAAGAGAAGTGCCTTGTTGTATGAATGATTCTACTGTAAGAACAAGTTGATGTAAATGTTAATTTACCTCAAATGTTTACAAAACTGTTACTAAATAAATTTTTTGTACCATATTCACTGTTTTAGTTTTTAATCTTGCTTTATCAAACAAAAAAAAATCAACATTTGCAGAAACACAAAGCTGTAGACGTGACTGAAGCTTGAAAAGCAAACACTAACTGAGACTCCA